AGTGTATCATTGTTTTATTATGGAATATTATGTTGTGATGCCACAACTCTTCCACAGTGCGACTCTCGAAATTTTCGTCCGAAAACGATGAGGGTGTATTTTTACCCGTCCACCGCGGGAACGAACCACAACAGTACTCGAGGGTCATGAAATTGTTAACCGCATTTGCTAGACTCTTAAGCAACGTGGGACCATAAACTAGCACGTTAACTGGAGGTTGTGTGTGTTTTTCTAAAGCTTCGTTGCCAGATCTACTGAAGCCTACGATGCTTCGCAGTTCCTGCAGGAAGAGAGTTTGTCGAGGCATGTTACGGGATCCAAAGACAACGACGAAGAGCTGTTGGTTATGTCCCCCTTTTTAATGGTGTTTTCAAAAGTCACAGGGAAACAACTGAGTATAAAACATCATCAAAGAGGTCTTACCACGTTTCCATAGAAATCAACGGTCAACCGTTGTATCCTTCTGCGTTCATCCAAACACGTCAATGCCGCGGCACCTGTTCACAACATGGCCGCGATATTTGCGTCTATTTAACTTTTTGAACTCTATGACTGTTGCTTGCAAGATGACCATGTTAACATCAGATGCACTGGTCTCGGGGCTGTGCTCTTCATAGTCATCATTCAATCATAATGCTTGAAGTCCTTACGTCCTTTTTTTGTTTGTTTTGTTTTCCATTTTGAAGCCCCACTCTGGCTTTTGCCAGGGGCCGCAATATAGGCAGGCCATAAAAAATGGCCAAATAATGAACGCGGTTTCTGGGACCTCTTTGAACCAGGTAATCCACATGGTGGCATGTTGTCATCGGGTGTTTATCGCTTGATTGTCATCCCTATGGGGTAGAAAGTCACTCATTCACCATGAGCATTTATTTATTTTTATGCAGCCGTGGCTGGTGGAGTTGGACTCATGGTTAAAAAACTACACGAACGGGATGCAGGAATTTTGTTTGCTTTGTTTGTCCTCAAATCAGTGTAGGGATTTCCCTGCCTTTTAGTTGTCTGCGCTTAGATCAGTTCAGTTCCCTGTTCTTTATCTGATCAACACAGGAAATTCTCTGCCTTCTACTTGTCTATCCTGAGAACAAGGCATAAAATGATATTAATATCCCAGCTTTTATCTATAGCCTCAAATACAGTTGCCACACAGGTACTCAAATAGTATCCCACTGACTAAATCTCGCATCGCAGAGAGGCAACAGCTGACCACTGGATTAGTGCCAATTTTATTGGTATTTTTCTGTAGTGGAGCTCTGGGCGCTGATGACCCGTTTTAAACATTCTGCAGCGTGAATAGCCCCAGCCTAGCCTAAAAAGTTGTCAGTGTTTCGTTTATAGAAGTGGTTTTTGTTAACCCGAAAGTTATCTACTTTTTTTGCCCGGCTTACTAGCGAAGTTAGTTAAACCTTACTTTCACGGCGGCCGGGTGACAAACTCCTTGTGGTCCGGGTTCACTCCCGGGGGTAGGCAGAAAAGCCACATTTCTCCCAGATTAACGGTACCTATAATGGAATCAAGGCCGAAGGGTTGCGATATCCATAGTACCGAACCAAAGGGTTTACAACTCATGGTTTCTGGATACGTAAAAAAAAAAAACTACTTTTTTCTGTAATGCAGTTATGTTCTGTTCCCCCTTATACAAGCTAGACAACATTACAAGTGTGAAGACACCATCAAGAAGTAGGCAAAAGTGTTGGAGATCTATTGCAGCCAACCTTTTGTGTGTGTGTGTGTGGAGACCACACCCGAACAACACTTAGCTAAAACTTAATCATCTTTACTGCCCGTATCAACTACTTGATGGTGCAGAAGGGTTTTAAAGGCTGCATGGCTAGCATTGCCGCCACAAACTGTATGCAAGGATTTGTATCCCTCTTGACAGAAAATACTCTGCCCCTTAACCGAGGATCAAACCCTGTCTCTTAGACGATAGCCCAAATTTCTAAACATCCAGCCAACCACTACATTACCTAATACCAAATGCATGTGATTTTAAGAAATCACAAGGGACTCAGGGTAATCACCTTTAACTCTAAAGGTCATGGAATATTCTCACAAAGGTGTCATTAAATTCACACAAGAAAATTTTTCCGCGAAATTTAACTCAATTCTCTCCCTTTAAATGTTACTTGGATCAGTCAAACTGATCTACACATAAGGCAAACATCCTCGACACAGATGATGGCTAAAACTTTCCATGAAAAAAGAAGGAACTTTTGGTCAACAAGGTAATATGCTTGTCTTTCTGCTGGTCTGAATGCTCGCTAGACCCTCCACTTTTAAACCTCTAGGTCCCGCTAGACCCTACACTTATAAACCTCTAGGTCCCGCTAGACCCTACACTTATAAACCTCTAGGTCCCGCTGGACCCTACACTTATAAACCTCTAGGTCCCGCTAGACCCTACACTTATAAACCTCTAGGTCCGCTAGACCCTACACTTATAAACCTCTTGGTCTTATCTAGTCAGTCTTCAATGCTCCTTCAAGGCCTCTTAACTTCCAGGGATGTTGCCATTTGTAAGTGTGGACGGCTACCAGTCAAACTCTCCCCCAAGAGAAATAACATATTCTCATAAATACATAAATGACAAGACAGACAATTAGTGTGAGGCAGTGTGTGTGTGCGAAGCAGACATTCAGCTCACTTCAGGTGTTCTCTGATAAGTTTCAAGAAATAAACTCAACAACCTTTAAAAAAAGGTGATCATTTAATGATAACACATGACGATGAAATACGCAGATATCAGCAATTAAAATGACTTAGAAGATGATGATTAGCAATCGCCTCTGTTGCATGAAGAAAACAACGAACGAACATGAAGAGAAAGTGACATCCTCCAGATCAGAAAATGAAAATAGTTTCAGATCCAAAATGTAATTTATAGTTAAAAGAACAGTAAACCAATTTGAAAAAGGTTTACATTACAGCACAGTTGATCCCCGCGTGGGTTCCGGGGCCCTATTATATTTGGAAAAAGAATAGACCCACTGCCTACAAAAAAGCATGTTGTAAGAGTCGACTAATTGTGAGCTTCCTTTTAAGTCAGAGTGCATATGCCGGAGAGGACAAGGAACCAGCAGTCTGCATACAAATGAGTCAGATCTGTAAAATGCATGCACACGCAACACTCAGGTTCTGGAACAGTCCAAAAGTGGATGAACAACCAGAACTTTCCGCCGTTTACAGCTGGTGAACGCAAAGAAGAAGCAGCAGCAGCAGTTGACATTATAGGTTTAGATGCTGCAAACCGATAACATACTTGATGAAAATCAAATAATTAATGTTCAGGAAGACAATAATGTTTCGAACATACAACAGACAGTATGTGCCTTGAGAAATACCAACATGTGACAACTTGTTCAACGCAAAACACATCTGCTGTCTATTAGAAGTACATGAGAAATTACATCAACAGAAAGAAGGGTACATCAAACACTGACACCATTAAAAAAAACCATGTTGCTTCAGTATAATGTCATCAGTTGCTCTGTGCTGTCTATACTACATTTGGAGTCTGTTGTCACTGACTTTTCTGCTTGTTGGTTTCTCACTATGTGAATTTATAAGGTTCACTGTCTCACTGTAACGGAAAGAAAAAGAAAACTAATTAAAAATATGAATAATAAATGACTGACAGGCAACCAAAAAAAGAAATGGGGGGGGGGGGGGGGGGGGGGGGGGGGGGGCAACAAACCATCTGAAATGACATTTTAATAACAGCCTTCTCACATGCTTCTGTCCATCAGTTTACCATTTTAATGCCTGTCTGGTGATTCTCTGTCAGTTTCTTTTTGTGAGATGCTCAATATATTCTTTCCTTTATAGCCGTTGACACTAGTGGCTGCTGAGGCATGCTCTGATCAATTCATTCAATTTAATGTTCCATCACATGTGCCTCTTAAATGTCACCAAACAAGGGACAACCCCCCCCCCCCCCCCCCCCAACATGGATGTGAGCCTTAACCATTTCAACAAAAAGATCAGGGCTTTTTTTCTGAAATATGTAGAAATAGCATGAATATAATAAGAAATACAAATCAATACCTACATCTTTTTCATTCAGTCTGTAAATTCTAGCAAAACATTGTTTTTTTTCGCCCACTTCTGCATGTCAATTCTGTTCCAGAACTTTGCGTGCAAATCTATTCTGTAAGTAGATTTTTGGTTCCCACTCCATAGATGCACTGACCTTGAAGAAAACCGCCAAATAGTTGCCTAGCAGGACATGCTGTTTAGGGGAAGGGGCTAATACCCCAAAGTGGAGCCCCAGAACCCAAGCAGGTTGACATAAAGAACTAATAGAAAGTTGAAAGAAAAAATCCAGAGCAGTATTGACACTACTGTAGTTTAGAATCTGTTGCAATCTTCCTGGCCAGGGTTTTTCAAATCAGATCTCTACAGCTGGCTGCCACCAGAATACAAGCTGGCCAAACATGGGATTTCTTTAATTTATTTTACAATCTTAGAGAACAAATACTGGAGAACATGGCTGCCAGAAGAGGCAGGGGTATATCAGCAAAAATATGGATACAGCAGACCTGTTAACAGTGAAAAGAGTAGGAGAATTGGCAAGGGGACCAAAGTTATTGGAGGGCAGACATGGTCTGCAAAGATGCTATGAAAAAATGCCAGCCAGTTAAAATACAATTGCTAACATAGTAAGTGCTGAAATGTTAAATCTTCTGCACTCTCCCTTAAAAAGGGTGGCTGAAGTGTTGTTGAATTTTACATCTAGGCTGACACATCAGCGCTGTTTGGTCCAACACACCCTATTTCACCAAATCATCGAATTTTATGACATGTTTGTTAAAAAGCAATGCCTTTACTGTATTGACCCACATGAGGGACAATGTCATAAACCCCACAGTAGACAGTACTATACATTAACCAGTGTGTGTGCATGTGTGTTTATGTGGTGTTGTATGCATGTATGTCTATGCACATGTGTCTACTAGCATGTTAACCCAAAAATCCACCCATGCGCGACTTGAACTTGCCTAAAAGAAAATAGGATCTTGAGCAAACGAAGACTGACTGTCCCCAGCTTTACCACCAAGTCCACCCATTCCTGGCCGTCCGTATCCACTTTGTGCTGCTCCACTCTGCCGGAAATAATCGGATCCTCCAACACCAGCAGACCCTCCAGAAGCTCCTCCAATGCCCGCACCAGGCCTGTCAAGTCCACGGTAGTAGTCGCCACCGACTCCATTCCCATAACCACCAGAGGGAGCGTTCCTGCCAGATGCTGCGCCGGAGCCACCAAGTGAATCTGTTCGTCCTCCAGCTAGTGCTTTCCTGAAATAAAACCAAAATGATTTTTATGTCACAATGGAACCCTGTTGATCTTTACCGTAACTTTCTTTTCAGTTATGTTGTCAGTAAATACAAGCATTTCTTAGCTTTTTTTAAAAGAGTGCAACTAGCAAATATAACAGATTTAATTACGCTTTCTGATTGCATGTACAAATTGGAGAGTGAGTCTTTAGCATATTAATATAATCTGAATAATGGGTAGAAAAGAACAAATTGGTGTGCTTAGGTGGGCATGTATTTTTTATGTAGCAATGTCATGTATGGACATGAGTCATGCAATCCTGCAGTCCTTAAGAAATGAAATAGGGACTTTTGAGCTGTAACACTACAGAAAGATATCAAAATACCATTAACCAAGATAAAAAGAAATATTGACGTCTAAAAAGATAAGAACAGCAAGGAGGAAGAATGGCTAAACAGCATCGTGCTGCATAAATATGTTGGCCACATTAAGCATCACAGCAGACCAGAAAAAAAAAATAGGAGGTAAATATATTACAAGAAATCATTATTTGTTAACTAGAAAAATGTCTACCTTCCACAGAATCTGACTATAAGAAAATGAATCATAATAATTGAAGATAAGTGTAAATTTATATCTTAAAGCTCAAAAGTTTTATGAGCGCTTGCTTTTAGTAGGGATACATAATCTGCTGATTCAGCTAATTCTACTGCGTTTCTTCTTCCAAAGATGGTTGGCGTGTTATTATTTACATCTAGGCACAACCCCCTAGTTGGTCACTTTTTATGAAATAATTGTTAGGACAACAGTGGATCTATGGATGTGCCATTTGTTGCCCTTTACACACATGACAATACTGACACAGCAGTAAAAAATACAATCTTTGAGAATCTCCCTGTGTGGGTGCCAATGTCCATGTGGTGGGGTGGGGGGGGGGGGGGGGGGGGGGGGGCAAAATAAGTCCATTGCCCCTATCAAGCATGCTGTAAAGGTGGCTAATCAGGAGGTTGCTGAAATAAGATCTGTTAGAGCCGACCAGAAAATAAAGACATCACAGCCTAACTGTAAAGCCGTTAGCACAACAGGACCTCTCCATCCACTGGAAAACACAAAATATGCCTGGGCAAACTTTATCTCTCAAAAACAAAATATGATAAGCCTGGACATACTCCGGCTATTAAGAACTAAATCCTGAGAACTGACCTGCTGTCGTAGTACTCTGGTGGTGGTCTAGAAGCCAAGGGATCCCTCTCCCTAAAGTAAGGATCTGCCAGACCCCGGGCACGCTCATCCAGATATGGTCTGGGAGGGGGAATTCTGTCTCTGGGGTCTGGTGGGAAACGCTCTGACAAGCGGTCCCTTGGCAATGGGGGGTATCTGTCACGAGCACCTGCGGATGGGTATCCCCTGTCTCCGGGCACAGGTCCCAACCGGGCATAATATGCCTCCCTCTCCATGTAGTAGCGGTAGTAAGGATCGTAGCGATCATAGGCTGCTGGAGGCACAGGTGGGTAGTCATAGCGACCATAATCCCGTGCATCTCCACGACCAGGTGGAAGACCATAAGGTCGAGATCTGCCAGGGCCACCTTGAAATCTGCAAAGGAAAATAGATAAATCATTCCTTTTCACTTTAATATTTGCTTGGGGTCTTTTTTAACAAAAATGTCAAAAGAGTAAATTTAAAAAAGAATACAGCTATAATGACAAACTGATCTAGACAATGATTATTATATTATTTCATTCACTATCATAGTAAATTTAAGGAAACAATTAATTTGCAACATCTACCGTCAAATGCCCTTAATATTGGTATTTCCTAACCTTAAAATACCCTAAATCATTATTAAAACAAGAAATAGAAAAATACACCACACCGTACCATATGCCATATGTTTTGCAACTTACCAAACCTCTCCGTAGGTAAAACATGCAACTGAACAATCAACAAACACAAAAACATGACAAATTTAAATACCCAACATTTAACTGAGAAATCACAAATGTCCCTGTCTTTTGTGTACCATACAAAAATTATTTTATACTCGAAATTTTAGTTGTAACCTTTTAAGTTTTAACCTCCCCATGCACCACATCATTATTTAATTACAACGTTGTAACAATTACCAACAACATTTAACGAATAAGTTACTCAGCCAAACCGCTTCGATACTAATTACGGCCCGAAGGCTGTACGATAATACCGATCTGGATTTGCGGATAGCAATGATGGATGACAATCGCAGACGGCATCGGCACGGCACTCTTGGATTCAGCTATGAGGTGAACTAAAACGGGCTACGAGCTTGCGCAAATAAAATTTGTTCTAACCCTTTCTTGTCGAATTTCCCGCCACCGCCGCCTCCACCTTTCTTTCCGGTCGATAGCTGCAAGATTGGAGAAAAAAATAAACATTGCACTGTGTTTGTAACACAAGATAAAACGCCACTTCAGTGAAACCTGTCTTCTCAAAATAGCGAAGGAAAAGCTTCAATAATGCGAACAATTAATAAATATCAATGTATTTAAGAATTGAATTAAACGTATGACAGGTTTCACTGGCCCAAATATAATAATATATGCAAAGCAAATGCAATCGAATCATGCATTAAACATATAAATATAGGATCTATTGACATATTTCAGTTACGCATTTCGTTAATGTTAGTGTGTAGATCCCTCATCGCAAAATACATATCTACGGTTGTGAATCAACTAATTACAACACTCATAATATCGGCATTTTGTAAACCAATTACCATTTCGGTTTTATTCTTACACCCCAAAATTCATAGCAGCATAAATGCTTTACACACGCAAGGAGAAAAACACCAACTGAAACAAACATGAAAGCCAATTTGAAAAACCTTAACCTTTAAATAGAAATTATGTGAAAGCAAATAAAATTGAAAGCAAAGAGACTTACCTCTACACGAATGTTGTTTCCATCAATGCTGTGACCATCAAGCTGGGCAATGGCCTTGTTGGCATCATTTTTGTCCACCATGTGCTGCCACAGGGAAAAAAACATATAATTGGTAATATTCTATAGAATAATTAGAATCTTTACTTCCCGCTTTGATGCTTGTTTTATAGAATAATATGATAGTTCCTAATTTTTAGCTGTGATGCTCACTGTTCTTTAGAATAATATGATAGTTGTTAATTTTTAGCTGAGATATCCAATATATATATATATAAAAATCAACGTGTGTTTGTTTATGAGCTATAAGACTCGGAAACTACTGAACCGATTTAGCTGAAGTTTTCAGGATATATCTGTTTTGATACCGGATGTTTACCCATCATGGTTTGAAATTCAACATGTCATTGTTAGAGATAGGTGACCACAATTTTTTGGGAAAATCTTCAAAACTAATATTTCCATATTTAGTGACATTTAATTATAGCCATGTTGGTAAATGCGCAGTAGTCATAACACAAGACTTCCACCATTCGCAGGCGAGATGCGTACAGCCAACGCCTTCTCTAATAAATAGAGTAGGCCGTGGTACAGCAAACAAGACTATCTCTATATCTGTGCAGGCAATGATTGCCACAATAACCATATTAGACACGATTGATATTTTCTGTCTTTTTAAAACAACCTTTGATGAGCTGGAGAGTAGCTGATGGATTGGGGGGGGGGGGGTGTGTGTGTGGCATCAAGGACTATCGACGTCTGCGCAGACAATGACTGTGACATTAACCGTGTTAGACATGTGCCATTTCAATAATATATCTGGAATATTTGTCTATGAGAAAACAATTGCCTGCTGTTCAGATGAAGTGGTTGCTTGGTCGAATGATTAGAACACTGGACTCCTGACAGGGAGACCAGGGTTAGAATCCGCAGCAGTTTTTTCTTTTTTCTAAACACGGGGGCAAAATAAAATCCTCACCTGCACTGTCGTGACGACAGCACTCGCCATGTGGCCCTAAATACTAAAAAAAAAAAAAAAGACATGTAAATGGGTACCAGTTGATAATTAAATTTGACCATTTCGCATACTTATGATTTCATTTTAAACTTAGGGGATATGAGGGAGGGGTAATAACTGAAATTGTTAACTTAAAGAGCTTAACATATGATTTTAAAGTTCTCATTAATTTGTTTATATTTTACTAACGCTCCCTCCGCTATTCTTATTTTTTTTAACGATTTATTTTGTTATTTACAAGTACAGTAGTAGCTGTACTTCCGTCTCCTATAAAAATACAAACACAGCTCTAGCATATGATAACCAAATAACCAGTTTTTGTTACTGTGCTAATAACACCATTTAAACGACCACTAAGACAATTATATGGTGAGTAATCTAAAGTTGGAAAACCAGACTATCTCTATATCTGTGCAGAGAATGATTGCGACAAACTATATTAGACACGTGCGATTTCTATTGTCTTTCTTTTCCAAAAACCTTTTAATAAGGGAGAGTAGTAGGTGGATTTAGTGGTGGTGGGGGTGGGGATCAAAGACTATCTTTATATCTGAGCAGACAATGATTGCGACAATAACCATATTAGACACGATTTCTATTTTCTTTCTTTTCCATTAAGCCAAACTATGCCACAGTAGTGTTCTATAGAATAATATGATGGTTACTTTTAGCTACAGAATATGATGGTTCTTTATTTTTAGTTGTGATGTCGAATGTTCTATAGAATATGATGGCTCTTTATTTTTAGCTGTGATATTTAATGTTTTATAGAATAATATGATGGTTCTTTATTTTTGGCTGTGATGTCCAATATTCTATAGAATAATTGTATGTTTCTTTATTTTGAGCAGCGATGTCTAATGTTCTATAGAATAATTTGATGTTTTTTTTCAGCTGTGATGCCAAATATTGTATCAAATGGTTTTTTCACTTCTTGCTTTGATACTCATTCGTTATCCTGCGTCTCACGTACTTATAGAATAGTTAGTATCTACAACCCAAAAAAATGACTAGATAAGCGATTTTATCTCTACATTATCTGAATCTCAGGAATCTAAATTATCTCAAAAGATACTCAGCATTATAAACAAGAGTGCTGATTAGGACTGCTAGGAACGAACAATCTAAATAAAATATACTTACAACAAATCCAAAGTTCTTCAGAACATCACATTCCACGACTTCACCATATTTTTCAAACAGAGGACGAATTTTTTCCGCTGTGGTGTCTGAGCTGAGGTTGCCCAAGAATATTTTTATCGTCATTCCTCTGGTTGCTACAGGTTCCTAAAAATTTAACAGAACAACATTTGAATCAGTAAATCAGGTCCCAAACCGGACAGTGTGTTAATTTACTTCTGTGTTTGCCCTGAAAAGGTTGGTTGGCAGGCTGCTTTTTGTTTCAGTAAGACTGACATCTGCCCTTGTTTTTTAGTAAAATGTGAATTAGTCGTCTTTTACAGCATATCTGTTATGGCAGGGTAGGGGTACCACACACCCCACTAGGAGGCTCATAACTTACGTAAGGACCTATTTTTAAAATAAATATTTATTGTTAGAGTACACAGGTGTACAACGGAAGCCAAGATAGGATGGTGGTCTCAGGTTGAAAATCATCAAGACATTTTTTTCTCTTCTAAACTGGCATTAAATGGGGGAGGGGGAGGGGGGGGAGGTTTACAGTCAAGAAGGTCAATGTTACCTCACAGGGTTTTATTTCAAAAGAAAACTAGCCAGTCTAAAATGTTTTAGAAATATTCTGAAGTAAAAGAAATCTGCATGACTGACCACATCACAGGTAGTCTTAGTTTCAGCTTCATAGCAAACAGATCACCCCATGATTGCTCCACTCTGCCAATGAAATAACACATGGAATGGTCTTTTTTTAAAAACAGAAACGGATCACAAATTATTTTCAAACTCTTTAATGATAATCAAGGTTCTAAAAAAGGCAGTGAATCATAAACCTGTCGGAAACGGTAAAACATCATTACAGATTACTAAGAATTCAAAAAGGCCATAAACAGAGTCAAGGGTTAATAAAACTGTGTTAACGAGAGATTATTAATATATCCTTGCCGGGACCAACATTCTGTTCATTATAAGTGTTTTCCTGAGCGAGTCTGTGGTAATGACAATGAGGCTTTACTGTAATTAAAACAAGAGAGACCTGTGATATTGTGGCCACAATTAAAGCCAAAATTTGAACAATTTTAAATAATGTGCCAAAAAAAGATAATAAAAGGGTACGGCAAGAAAAAAAAAAAAAAGATGGGATGACCTGGCGATGGTCAACAGCAGTCTTTGTGAGTACAACAAGAAAGGGAGTTTGTGTAGAAATCCACTACAGACAACAAAATTCCTGGCTATCCTCCGAACTTCGGGCACTAAAGATGGCGGCCGCAATATATCCTTTCGAGTCACAGTCACATGTCAACTGCGCACTTCCGGCGACTTAATTTGCGGTTCTCCTGCCCAGAGTCCCCTACGCCGCTCATGCGGCGTGGATTGGGGCTAAACTAGATGGCCTGGACCCACAAGCAGCAGCTTCCGCATTTCTTGAAGCTTTGCCTGTGAGTCCTAGCCATGTAGATTAGCCCCAATCCACGCCGCGTGAGTGGCGTGGGGTACTCGTGGCGGTGGTCGCAGGAAAACCGCAAATTAAGTCCCGTGACTGGCTCGAAAGGATATTTTGCGGCCGTCATCTTTAGTGCCCAAAGTTCAGAGGATAACCAAATTCCTTAATAGTAAACAAATAATCCATATGTAAATTCTAATTTTATTTAAATATACCAGTGCATTTTTACTGCCAAGTTTTATACAAATATGCTACTTTTTTTTTGTTCATAATGAATAATCATATAATGGAGATTACACGAAAACAGGTCGTTAAAATATAGCTCAGTTGGAAGAGCGTTAGACTGAAGATCTAAAGGTCCCTGGTTCAATCCCGGGTTTCGGCAATATCCGGCGGCCTGCATTTTTTATAGCCCGGCTCTCTAGCGAAGTTGGTTAAACCTGACGTTCGCGGCGGCCGGGTGACGAACTCCTAGTGGTCCGGGTTCACTCCCAGGGGTAGGCAGAAAAGCCACATTTCTCCCAGATTACCTATAATGGAATCAATGCCGAAGGGTTGCGATATCCATAGTACCGAGCCAAAGGGTTTACAACTCATGGTTTCTGGATACGTAAAAAAAAATAAAAAAAAATCCATTACTTAAGTGAAGATCACCTTCTTTATCTTCCTGTTGCCTATGACTGCATCATCCATATTTATGCAGACCTCAAGCAGGCAACAACTGACAATTAAGTGACAAGCCTTAGAGATCTTTCAACACATCTAGATGAACTATTATCCCAGCAGCACCTCAAATATTCCGTTTACTGATCCCTGCAGAACCTATACACTAACACTGGAGTAAACCTTTCAATTGGAAAAAGATCAGAAAAGGCGGCCTTGCTTAATGATGAAAACCTGCCAATTAATCTTATTTGTTACTTTGAAGGGGGAGGAAGAGAGCACATGTCACATACACTATACACACAAAACACAGATTTCAGAACACTGCTCACCCAGTGACTAAAAAAGTTTACTTCACTCTTCTTTCTTTACGCAAAGTGGATGACTCATCAACTGTGTTCACTAATGTGGAGGGCCTGCAAGAAAACCAAGCAACAAAACAATGATCACTCACAATTTACCTCATACCATATACTGACAGTATTTACAAAAGTGTTAACATTCACGGGAAAGCTACTCTAGCTATTGATTTTTTATCGTCCAGTGTACAAAATTCAGAGTAAGTTCACTCCGAACTTCGTTTTTTGGACTGGTCACTAGTCAGAGACAACAGGACGGGTCATTTGTAGGAGCGTCGACTTCGTTATTCTACCACTCACTCTTAGTGAAGCATCATTCGATTTAAAAGAAAGTACACTAATAATAAATAATCATGCAATTCTAAACTGTAAAAACTTATTACATATTATATGTCTGTAACAGTTTATTTTAGGATGCTCTTGACTTGTAAGTTCTATCAGGACAAAAAGCGGCGACCATGTGCGAGATGAGGCGTGATTTTCAAAATCATTTTGTCCTGACTTGGAAATAATTCATTGAAAACATTTCTGGTTGCTTAATAGGTTTTTCTAACATTGTATGATTGCAAAACTATAATTAAAGTAGCAGTGAATTGTTCAAACTGAAGAACTAACTAATTACGCATTAAAAATTCACAAAGACGAACCGGCGACGCAGAGACGACCGACGCTGGATCTCAGTTCGGAATTGAACCAGAAATTATTGGTCAGTTTAGAATGGCAAATGCCATAAAATTATTTCGCATGCTGAAAACAAATATATTTACTGAAAAGATGCATGACGTTTAAGAGAGAGAGAAAAAAAACTATGTACATAATAGCGACTTATTCCTACCTCGTCGTTTCTTGTCGTTCTTCTTCCTAGCTTCTAAAAGATTTCAAAATGGCGATTGAGGTCGTGTGGCTGATTTTTCCCGCTTGGGATTGCTAAATTCAGCCAACCAGCGATGATCAAAGTCCTGAAAGCGCTATTATCATCATTGGGTGCTTTACCGATTGGCGTGTGCGATCGTGCTTCTATACATCCTGTGGTCTATAATATCTATATCAACTGGTCTGCAGACATATTTTCATACCGTGGCAAAAGGCTGATAGGAATCTTCTCTCGCTGTGTTCCTCTTTCTATCTTTATCTGTTCATAAGAAAGCATTAATAGCTGGTCAGATAGAAGGTCAGCCCTGACTGGAAATATATACAATACTGGTTTCACGTGTATTGAACGATATGCCATCTGCAAGGAACTGCATACATAAAATATTTTGGGAGCGAAGTGTGTATATGAAGGTGCATTGTGGAGTTTGAAATCAGATAAAATAAAAGTTAATTGCGTATCCTTTACAGGACGTTGCAGAACCAACCCCAGCATTTTTGGCAGTTGTGTTTTTTCGGCAAATTTAAGTCCAGTATTTTGAAATTGCTTTCTATTGGTCGGCTTTTCGATACCACTGTAGAAACCAGCTCAAATCCCGCAGCTGGGATAGATGCCGGTATTACGAAACGCGTTCGCAACGCCTAAGCCACAGACGCTGACTTTAAATCTATAAAATATTTTAAATACCTGTTTGAAAACTAACCTCTACGTTTAAAATAACGTCTTGAATAATGGCTCCAAATACTTGATTAACAGACTGTATACCACAACCAGCATTAGTGTACGGGCCAAATTGGAATAGGGAAAAAAAGGCGGGCCATGCAAATAAATGATGGACAACGGGAATGACAGTCCCTGTCGACATCACAGCTCTCGGGATACTTCCTTAAGCACACAGAAACTCTCCCACTCTTTATACTTTACCTCGACACATCAGGATACAAGAGGACAAATGTGAGACCAGAGTTCACAGACTACGTTCAATTAAATTTCTTCTTCTTCTTCTTCGCGTTCACCAGCTTTACACTCTGGCGGAAGGTTCTGGTTGCTCGTCCACTACTGAACTGCAGTCCTGCTCCAGAACCTGAGTGTTGCGTGTGCATCAGTTTTACAGATCTCATTCTCTTGAATACAGACTGTCGGTTCCTTGCCTCTCCGGCAGATGCACTCCGACTTCAAAGGAAGCTCCCCAATTAGTCGACTCTTACGACATGCTTTTGGGGAGGCAGTGAGTCTATTCTTGTTTTCCCCACAATGGGGCCCCAGAACCCACACGGGGATCAATTAAATTTCATTTAAAATGCTTTTAACGGCCATCATAAAATATGTACCAATAAAATAAAACGTCAAACGCTTACTTGGCAATATGGTTACACATAATGACATGCAAACGATGCGAACAAATAAGAAATGTCTTGACCGTAGCAAGATCTAAATAACTCTTTAATGCTATTGGAGCACTAACCCTTCTTTGACGCCTTCCGATGCATTGGGCATACAGGGATAGGTCTATATTTTATATACCAATCGGCACTCGATAGGTAATGTAGTCAACACCACACAGCTACAAGGAAACCAAAACAGCGCTAAAGCAGTCTTTCAAGCGGGAGTGGAGAAGGCAGAATGCAGACTACAGACCAGAGAGTGACAGCATAAACAAACTCAACAGGAAAGAACAAACAACACATTTTAGACTTCGGACTGGACGCTGTGGTCTTCGAGCACACCTGTACAGGATAGACATAAACGAATCTGCTGCCTGCGATTGTGGAGCAGAAAGACAGACCCCTGGGCA